TCTTTCAATCTTGTTCATTCTGATTTTGATGAACAATTTAAATGACCCCATTTAATCTGAGTGACACAGTACTTACACACTCTTTTAGAAATGAGTGTTTGATTTATGTCAGGAGATTCCTGAAAGTGAGGGTAATACATTTTCAGTAAACCATATTATAAATGCATTTTAGAAATTGCTTTCTGCTAAATGGCACTAAGTTCTTTGAAATCAGCTCTTTGCAGTGAATGTCTTGCCATGCAACTTTGGAATGATCTCTGAAACCTGATTCATCTTTTATTCTAAAACAAATGTCCCCTGACTGAGGCCACACCACCTGGCTACACTTTCCATCATACCCTTCGACCTAACCGCCGTGGTGGGGTGGCTCTCATCTCCCGGTCCCCGCTCAGCCTATCCCCTTACTCCTCTGGAACCTTCCCCTCCTTTGAACACCTTACCCTCTATCTCCCCTCCAACCTTTCCCTCAAAATGCTCCTTCTCTACCGCCCCCCCAAGCCCTCCCTTATCTTCATCCCTGACATCTCCACTCTCCTATCTTCCCTCTCCCTTTGCTCTGAACGCCTCCTCATTCTTGATGATTTCAGCCTTCACTTCACCCCCTCCTGCTCTACCTCTGCTGACTTTTCCTCCCTTATCTCCTCCCTCAATGTCTCCCTCCACATCCACTCCACCACCCACGTCCACGGTCACCCCCTCGACCTGGTGATCACTTGGGGTCTCACTATCTCGGACCTCACCATCATCGACAAAGTGATTTTGGAACATCATTTCAACCCCTTAACTCCTCAATCCCTCTCCCCACCACCACCCAACTCACCTCCATCTCATACGCCCCTGGAAAAAATCTCCATTCCCTCCCTCTCGGCTGCCTTAGAGTCATCTGCACTCTTTCCCCTCTGGGCGACCTCCCGTAATGACCTATCCTCCCCGGTCACGCTTCTCCACAGCTCCCTCTCCTCCACTCTCGATCCCTCGCTCCTCTCTCTTCCGAACCATCTCCTAATCACCAAAATCACCTTGGTACACCAGCCACCTCCGCTCCCTTAAAGCCCAAGCACGTTCCGCTGAGCATACCTGGCTTAAATCAAACCTAACTGTCCACCGGCAGATTTGGCTGGACCATGTCAAATCCTACCATTCCGCCCTCGCCTCCGCTAAATCATTGTTCCACTCCAAGACAATCTTGGAGGCTAAGGACAACCCCAGGCTCCTCTTCTCCATCATGAACCAACTCCTCTGCCCACCCTCTCATGCCTCACCCATCCTCATCTCAAATGCCAACTGCGAGGCAGTGCTGAACTTCCTCAAATCCAAAGTCGAGGGAATCCACTCAACTACCTCTGCCATTGCAACTGCTACTCCCTCTCCATCTCCTCCTCCCACCCCAGCCACTACCCACCCCTCCCTCCACACCTTTGAACCTGTCTCCTTCTCCTCTCTCATCACCACCATAACCCGTATGAAACCCACCACCTGCTCCCTCGACCCCATCCCTAACCCCCTCCTTACTTCCCAGCTCCACCTCTTTGCCCCTCTACTCACTGACATTGTTAACCTCTCCCTGTCCTCTGGTACTGTTCCCACCCCTTTAAAAAATGCTGTCATCATTAGTATTATTAAAAAAACTCTCCCTGGACCCTTCTCTACTCCCTAACTACCGCCCCATGTCCAACCTCCCCTTCCTCTCCAAGGACCTGGAACGATTTGTTGCTTCTCAGCTTCGCTCCTTCCTCTCCCCCCACTCCCTTCTCGAACCCCTCCAATCAGGTTTCCATGCCGCCCACAGCACAGAAACAGCCCTGGTCAAAGTGACAAATGACATTCTGTCCATCTATGACCAGGGTTCCCCCTTTCTCCTTGATCTTTCTGCCGTTTTCGACACCTCTATTGACCACTCGACCATTCTATCCTCATTCACAGCCTCTCCTCTAACCTCAACCACCTTGATTGTTTCAGATCGTACATCTCCTCCGCCTGCACTTCATCTCCTCAAAAGGCTTCTCCTCTAGCCCCCGGATTCTTTCGTGTGGCGTTCCTCCGGGCTCTGTCCTTGGTCCCCTCCTCTTCATCATCTATATGCTCCCTCTTGGTGACATCATCCGCAGACATGGGGTCAATTTCCACATGTTAGCATGTCTGTCAGACTTCAAATCTTGGATGAGAGCTAACTTTCTTCAGTTGAACATCAACAAGACTGAGGCTCTCTCGATTGGCTCCCGTCAGCACCTCCTCTCCTCAGGCGCTGACAGCATCACCATCCATAGTTGCTAAGCCAGTCCAGAACCTTGCAGTCTTGTTTGATCCTCAACTATCCTTTCTACCCCACATCTGCGCCATGATCCGTTCTGCTTTCCCCCACCTCCGCAACGTTGCCCGGCTCCGACGCTGTCTCACACCGCAAGCTATTGAAACCCTCATACATGCCTTCATTGCATCAAGGCTCGACTATGCAAACTCCCTGCTTGTCGACCTCCCCAACTCCTCCCTTCACAGGCTGCAGATCAACCAGAACTCTGCAGCCCATGTCCTCTCCCGCACTAGTCTCCGTGACCCTATCACCCCCATCCTTGCCCAACTCCACTGGCTTCCCATCACCCAGAGGATGCAGTTCAAGATTCTGGTCCTCATCTTCAAAGCCATCCATGATCTTGCTCCTCCCTACCTCTCCAACCTCCTAACCGTCTACCACCCCGTTCGCTCCCTCTGCTCAGTGGGCTCCAGCCTGCTTCACGTCCCCCTCCTTGCTTGCCCCACTATCGGTGGGCGGGCCTTCTGCCACCCTGCACCCACCCTCTTGAACTTTATCCCGCAGTCCCTCCATCTGGCCCTCTCCCTCTCCACCTTCATGACCCACCTCAAGACCCTCCTCTTCGACCGTGCTTTCAATCTCCCTACTTACCCCCTACCCTCCCACCTCCCCTCAGCTTGGGTCCGTAACTCTGTCTGTCCAGCACCTTGGGATGTCCTCCCGACGTGAAAGGCGCTATACAAATATAATTTTGTTGTTGTTGTATTTTGTTGCTCCAATGATTCCTTCCCCCTCTGCTCAGACATACACATACACACACAAACATTTTTACTTTGTTGTGGCTCATTAAATTTTAAATAGGTTTCCAGTTAGAAAAATATGATTTCTCCATCTTATGAATCAAAGCAACGAAGTACTGAAATATAAACAATGCTGTGAATAGAATGAATACAAAAAGGAAAAGTAGTAGCTGTTTGGTCTGGGTTTGAGGCACAGGGATGAGCAGGGATCAGAGGTCAGGTTGATTCAGACTGTGGCTGCAGAAGGCCACAAATTCGGCCATTTGTACAATTGGAGTTTGAGTCGACAATGAAGTTGTGGTTGGCTTTTATCCATATAGCCATCAGACTGTTGCAGATGAGAGATCTACTTGTCCCATGACTGTCGAGCAGGTTGATACCAATACAAACAGGCTTACTTTTCTGTGATTTACAGTGAGTCTGAATTTGATCGTGTTCCAAATAGTGCCACAAAAGCCCAGTTCAGCAGTGGCCCCTAAGACACTCAGTGACCTAAAAGAAGTACTGTTTAGGAATTGCCTAATCCACAAGATCCACTTGAAAATATCAACATCATACAATTTAGTTATGTGTTCACATTGTATTGTTAGTTCTTAAACACAAGTGAACCAAAGTTTTGTTAAGCAAGGTAAGCATTTGACAGCTTAGATGATCTACTATTGCTTGACACATTTATAATGTAACTAACAGTTTAAAATAGAGTCCCGGATTAATATTTTACAAGCTACATGAATACAGCTAAAAAAAAACACATGGTTGCAATTGCAAACACTGCCTGACAAGTTTCCTGTCTCTTGTCCAGTTTAGGACCACCCTATCAGTTAGAGCAATGGCTTGCAGGTTAACTGAGGGGAAGAATCCCTGCCCCCCATTGATTGCTTTGCAACTCTAAGTCCTTACGATGAGCTACGCTGGCTGGTCTTCCATCAGTGGTGCCCTGGAGTACCGAGGACCCGGCTGAATATGAAGGCTGTATTGAGAACTGAATGAAAGCAAATGGTATCCAGATAATAAAGACTGACAGATGGAAATTTGGATTTAGGTCAACTTGTCACCCATCTATAATGGAGAAATGTGGAGAGGAGTAATGAAAATTATTGTCACTCCGCATCTAAAGAGCACATGGTTAACTTATAAGGAATCGTCAACAAATATTAAGCAATAAGTGGCATTTTACAATACTGCAATTCTTTGAGGAAGTAACAAAACTAAAGGATGAGGGCAACACAATGCCTGTTAGAGTATTTACCTGAATTTTCATAAATAACAACATCAATAACAACAACAAAATTACATTTGAAAATAATTTGAGAAATTATGAAGAAAACGGTCATAGATTATAGAATTAAGAGCATTTTGGCTACCTCCCATGGTACTATTCAAAAAGGGAAAGGAGTTTCTCCCTGTGCTGTGGCCAACAATCTGCCAAGTAAAAATTTGTCACCCACTTCATGACTCTTTGTGGGACAGAAGGCATTGAAATAACACAAAGCAAAATAAGCGAGAAAATATCTGCGCGGTGGAGAAATGGCCAGCAGAGTTCCATTTGGATCGGTTCTGAGTGCCCTGCTGCTGTTCACGCTATTCATAAATGATATGAAGCAGATTACCTCTAGTGGCATAACATTTGCTGATGATACCAAGCAATATGGCCCTTTACGGGTATGATGGAGATTGATTACATTCAATGCACGATTCAATGGACTAAATTAAGTGAATCGGTTAAGGAGTGACAGGCGAATTTTAATGTGGATAAATATAAAGTGATGTACGTTGGAAGAGCAAACAGTGCCTTTCATGTCAGGTGGATGTGAAGTGTAATGACTATCAATTTTATTTTGGAAGGCAAAACGTCTACATCAAGAAATATTCATGTGGTTGGGGTGAGACATTTCAATGACATGCATGTGTATGCACATGACGTTTTAATGGATGTTAATCTGTTTTAGGACCTTCCTCAGTTATCAGCACTGATGATGACTCCGCCAGTCCTTTGCATCACGTAACTAACGGCAGCAACACCCCGTCCTCGTCAGAAGGTGGTCCAGATGCTGTTATCATCGGAATGACCAAGATTCCTGTCATCGAGAACCCACAGTACTTCAGGAATTCGATCACCATGCTCAAATCTGACACTTGTGAGTACATCTTTAAACATCTTCATACAAGTTAATGGTAAACACTGAGTTAATTTATGCCAACAGCCCAAATGGTTCCAAAATTCACTTTAAAAGGTATGAGCACCCAAACCTGAAGTAATTATGGACAGTAAAATTCAATTCATCTTTTAGTTGGTTGTGCGTTCAACAAAACCAACTAAAAGATTAGCCTTGAGAACACCTTAATGCAAAGTTATTCTTACACAACTAGAATTATAAATACTTATATGTCGGTTTTATTTCATTTTTTTTTAAAAAAACTACCATGGACTCAGGCTGATTCATTGGCTTCTCAAATGAAAAAATGACCGACTTCTAGATTGTCAGTCAGGTCACTGCTGAGTCAAGTCACTGTTTCCTCTTCCAGAATACAGCATCCCTGCACTTTGTGCACATGTACAGCACCCACCAAGTGATATTGATAACCCAGAAATCAGACATTTTGGGGATTCTCTGAGGAAATAATGGATCAAGTTTGAAAAGCTCACATAATTTTTCAATGACTCCTCAATTTGGTAGAAAGTGCCAAGTTCAATTTGGATTTTCCCTTTGGGCTTGACACAATGTTTGCTGCTTTCCACTTGGTGAAACATCATAGAGGTACATGAGATAGATGAGCCAGGAGAGATTAGATTTGAGATTAGCCTTAAGAATGTCAACATCTTTGCCATGAGGGCCCGCAGATTTTCTAGAGTAAAACTATTTATGTTGATGTTTCACTTGTACTTTTGGTGTTTGGTCTTGGATTTCAGGGAAGATTTAGGATATAATGTAGTGTTCAAGCTTACCTTATCTGCTGATGCATGCTTGGTGTGTGACCTCTGAGTGTCTATATACGCCAGTGAATCATTGCATAGAACACACCAAGCGCATTTGCTCATGTGTTATTCAGTTAGGTCTGTCCTTTGTGCAAACCTTGTAGGCAATAGGTGTGAAAATAAATTATGTATTTTACATATGAAAACAAATAAGAAAATATTAATAATGAAGCTGAAGACAAACCCTGATGATGCAGTGCCTCAGGTTACCATAACATCAAGGAAAATGCCAAGGAAGGAAATAAAGAACAGTAAATTCATCTTATCGTTATATACAGTGACGGATCCAATACAACATATTCATATTGCGCCTTTCACGTCAGGAGGACGTCTCAAAGCACTATACAAATTTGCTCATGTATTATTCAGTCAGGTGTGCACAAATCTTGTAGGCATGTCTTGGCACCCGGCAGTCACAAACCATACATAAATCAATGGATAAAGTAATCTTGACCATTAGATTGTAAATCCTCAGAATGGATTTTTTACATCAGAAACATGTATCCTCAAAATCTCTACACTTTACAATAAGAGAATTTCTTTAATTGATTACTTAACTTTAATAACTTTAATTGATTACCTAAGTCTCTTGGATATACTTTGGTGTGTTTTCTGGTGGCAGCGTGGTTGCTAAAAGGCCAATTGATTGCCATATGGATGATTTGGAAATAATAGATTTTCAACAGCAGTATGTTCTGGAAGGCCTTTAGGGTAAGGAACATAGATTTCAGGCAAACCTAGAGGTTAGAGGAAATAACTGTTTCCCACATTATACTGGAGACGTAGAACAGTCTTCCAGCAAAAGCTGATGCTTCAATTGAACCTCATAAAAATAATCAGAAAATTATTTGGGGAGGACACGTTTGCAGGGCTATGGGAAAAAGAGCGGGGGAGTGGGATTGAATTGGATAGCTCTTTTCAAAGAGCTGGCACAGACATGATGGGCCGAATGGCCTCCTTTTGTGCTGTATAATTCTATAATTTTATGAAATCTGGTTAGAAATTAAATGGGAGATTATTGTGGTAAAATGATTAACTGGACCCATGAGGCAATCATTCCTGTTGGAAGGAGGGAAGTAGGAAGAACAGAACAGCCATTTTTGAATAGTAGAAATGTTGGATGGATAGATACTTTGGAGGTTTCAAACCCCTTTGACTGTCAGACAATACTTAAACAGAACTTTCTGTCAAGAGATTAACTAGATGCAGTAGTTGTGGATACAGTGATGTCCAGACAATGGGTTGTACCTGGTCTGTAAAAGAGCAGGTTTCATGTGCTGAACAGTCTTTACTTGTTCCGTGCTTGCTCATGCGCTTATGTAGAAGCCAAACAATTCACTGTGCTTTGGTTTGATCTAATTGTTGGTTCACTTGGCTCCCAGCACTGTGTCCAAGGTTCATTCATGCAAGGCACAAATACCATACATCAACAGCAAGTAACTAGAATGAAGTAGAGCTAATGGCTGTCTGTGATATCTCAAATATCCATCCCTGATGGATCAACACACTCATTATTTAACTGCCTGAAGCAATACTTGATGTAAAAGTTTCAATGTCATGTACTTATTAGGGTATTCTCAAGACTCCCCCTCCACAAAATAAAAGCATTTTGAATTAGAGCCAGTTGATCGCAATAGAATAAATCACTTGTCAGTTTATTATTGTTGTGAATTATTTAACTGAATTCTGGTAAGATTGTATTGCTTTATATCTGAAACTTTAAAGTCCCACTTTATTCTCATCTCTAATCGGAGGGGAATTAAATAATAATAATGATCCTTGCATTTGATATAGCGTTTTTCACGTCTTCCAGACGACTTAAAGCGCTTCGCAGAATATTCTGTAAAGTGAATTGACTATACTTGTGGGCAAAACACGGCAGCCAATTGCGCAGAGCAGTGTCTCACAAACAGTCGTAGATTGAGTGACCAGATTATTTATTGTTGTTTTTCTTGAGGGATTATTATCCCCAGAAAAGCAATCCACCAATCGACAAACAACCAGGTTCCTATTTACTGCTAGGTAAACAGAGGTGTGTGGAGTGGAATGAGGAAACTTGCCCAACATTTCGCCCTGTTGGGAATTGAACTCAGGTCTCTCGCTTGCGAGGGGAGTGCTCTAACCATTGAGCTACAGGACTCCACAATTCTAATGTGATCTTGGCAAGTTATCAGGCTGTTATGAAATGCACCACTCTAAAATGTCTTAACCTATACAACAGGGCTAGGCATTAAGAGGAATGCCAATTCTAATGGTTTTGAGAGGACAAGTAGTGAAAGATTTGTCTTGCTATTTGGTAATAAATGGACATATGCTCAGCAGAGGTTAAAAGAATGTTTTTTTTAGTAAATTTATGACAATGTGCAATGTTTTGCTCCAAATAGCTACTGAGGCTGGTATCATAACAATGTTTAAAAGAGAATTTGATAAACATTTGAAGAGGAAAGATATAAAAGAATCAAAAGGAATATGGGGGAAGAGCATGGAATTGGGATGAGCATGGAATTGGGATGAGAAGTGGATGAGCTAACACAACTATGAACACAATGCGTTCAATGGCCTATTGTATCAATGCCACTTTTATCACATTCACGTAACCAAATGTGACATAAATGTCTACAAAACCCTCTAACGGCAGCACTCAGCATGGCCACTGGTAAAAGCTCTCACAAAATGGAAAGCATTTTTTCTAGGGATTCCCTGTATGCCATGCAGTCATAAGCTTTCCTACAGAAAGGTGATTTCCTGAAGAAAAAGTGGTTTAGATTCCCAGCATGTTTTCCAGGGGCCACGCAGCAGTGACCCTACTGGATTGCTATGATGATGGAAAGTCTTAGCACTAGTATTGTACATTAGAAACACAGCTGTTATTCACCTTTCATGGAACTTGAAAACTGAAAAGTTTCACTATTTCTACTGGAATATTGGGAGACGTATTCATCCTTTTCAACACATAGGTCATGAGCTGGTGTTTGAGACCTTTGTTACAACTATTAAGAAGTTTATGTAATTTCTCTCAAACAAAATTCAATCAGCTAGATACACCGCCTGTTATCAATTATAATAGCAAAACCCCCAAAAAGGTAAGGATCAGTATTCTATTAGAGGTAGAATGAGACAGGATATATTGGCTTTTCATTGCCTGACAATAAACATTATTAAAAATACATTATTAACAATGGACTCAATTGTTTCAATACACTCCAAGACGCTACCCACGTGAAGGGTACTATATAAATGCAAATTGTTGTTGTCGTTGTCCCCTGTCGGACATCAAGTGCTGGATTAGAGCAAACTTCCTCCAGTTGAATGCCAACAAGACCGAGGCTCTCCTGCTTGGCTCCTGTCAGCGCCTCCATACCTTGGGCGCTGACGGCATTACCCTTCATGGATCCACTCTACACCTCACGGAGCCAGTAAGGAACCTCAGTGTCCTGTTCGACCCTGAACTGTCCTTCCTCCACGACATCTGTGCCATTACCACCTCTGCCTTTCCCCACCTTCGTGACATTGCCCGGCTCCCCACTGACTTTCACCCCAGGCCGCTGAGAGCTCCTCCACACATTCATCACATACAGACTCGAATACGCAAATTTCCTGCTTGTCAGCCTCCCCAACTCCTCTCTCCACAGGCTGCAGATTATCCAGAACTCTGCAGTCCATGTCCTCTCCCGCATCAGGCTCCGAGGACAATTATATCCTGTTAACTATTGTCCTATCTCAAATCAGCTGACTCAAATTCCATCTGAATCTAGACGTAGACTTATTTCTTAGCATTTCAAAGCATGAAAAGGTTGGACAATTCTTAAATTCAGCCTTAAACTTGAGGTCAGTTTTACTTCAATATTTTTAGAAACAATTCTAGGTTCTTTTAAGAGCTGCAGAAAAATGGCTTCAAAATTAAGACTGAATTTAAGAACCATACAAAATTTGCAAATGATAATAAAAAATCTAAGGACTCAACCCTAATGGAATTTCTCCCCTCTGATTGTTGATGTAGTATGTTTACTTACTGTATCACAAGGTTACAAGAGGAATCTCTCATCTCCTATCCCTTCTCATCACGATGATCCTCACTTTTGCTTGCTTTATTTTGTTTCATGCATAAGGTGTTAGAGCTTCAAAGGTTTATTTTGGTCCAAAAAAAATCTCTACTTTTAG